TTTTTTTATAATTTTCAGCAGGATTTCTTTGCATGTGATATTAATGATATTGTTCGTTAATTTCCACACCCTTTTGGGTCATCTTTCTTTGGAATGGGAACAAACATAGGTATTTTCCAGTTAGTTGACCAGGTGGTTGTCCTCCATATTTCTTGGCATAACTTAGTGAGTGCATCCAGGAGAGCATCTGTTTGTTGAAATATGTCAATAGGTATGCAGTCAACTCCTGGGGCTTCTCTTTTTGCTATTTTTTTCAGAGCACCTTGAACTTTTCTCTTTCATCACCACAGGCTTTTGGTCACACATATATATATTTATTATCTTACTGTTTTAGAAGCCAGAAGTCCAAAAAGTGGGTCTTGTGGTACCAAAGCCAAGGCATTTGTTGGGCTGTATTGTAGGCTCTAGGGAAGAATCCATTCTTACTTTTTCCCAGCTTTTGTTGTGAACAAAACCACGATAAACATGGGTGTGCATATATCTGCTTGAGTGTCAGTTATGGTCTCTTTGGGGTATATTTCCAGTAGTGGAATTGCTGGGTCAAATGATATCTCTGTTTGCAACTTTTTGAGAAAGCTCCATACTACCTTCCACATTGGCTGCACCATTTTATACTGCCACCAACAGTGAATAAGGGTTCCAGTTTCTCTATAACCTCACCAACATTTGTTGCTTGCTGTTCTGTTAAGTTTTGCTATTCTGACTGGGGTGAGATGATATCTTATAGTTGTTTTCCTCATGGACGTTTTATGCTTTCTCGATCTATAGATGAAGTTTGTAATTTTTGATAGCTAATGAGCCTCATGTCTTTACTATTTCTTGAATTTTAGTACTGGTTTTTTTGGACACAGATTACTTCAGAAAACAATAAGTTATCCTATTTTTCCCCATGAATGTGGATGTGTATGTCTTCAGCATAAATTTTCCCAGTAAAGCCAATTGCCAGTTTACCCGTTGGTTTATTTGAATTTATTTCCTTTGAAGCATTTACCACATTATCATCTTATGTTGTTCTTTATGTATGTAATATATATTTTATTAAAGTGTGAGAAAAATACTCTATGTAGTATTAGCACTAAGATCAAGGAGAATGGAGACTTAAAATGGTTCTATAGTATTTGCTAGGATAGTATAGACAATATTTTGTGATTTGCCTCCATCTCCATTAAATCATGCATGTATAAAAGTGCAGATCATACTTAGAAAACCCTAACGACTCAGCAAGAAAAATACTGGACATAGTTGACCAATTTAGCAAAGTGGCAGGATACAAGATCAGCATACAAAAATCAATTAGGTTTCTCTACAGTGACAAAGATAATATAGAACTGGAGCTAAGAAAAACAATACCCTTCACAATAGCTAATCACAAGATTAAATACTTGGGAGTAAATCTAACCAGAAGCTCAAAGGATTTATTCAAAGGAAATGACAAAACATTACTACAAGAAACAAAAAGAGACCTTGAGAACTGGAAGAATATATCTTGCCCATTGATAGAAACACTCATATTGTGAAAATGACGATATTACCAAAAGCAATTTACCCGTTCAGTGCAATCCCAATACAAATACTAATCCTATTCCTCAATGAGATAGAAACGCAATCTCCAGTTTCATTTGGAATGGAAAGAAGCCCCAAATAAGCAAAGCACTCCT